CTGCTGCTCTCCGGGACACGCCTCCCTCCTCAGGAGGACCGGCTGGCCCAGCGCGGGGAAAGGTGGCCCCTTTCCACGAAATCGACCCCAGCCCCCAGCCCATAAGCCCGTCCCCTCCTTCGCCTTGCTCTTGTCCCCGCCTCCGCTTCCTTCTCCGACGGGGCAAGGACCGCCGAGACCTTCTGCGCCCGAATCTTTGCTGTCTTCCGGTTTCTCCCCTGGTTGTCACTAAACCTTCAACTTTCCCGGCTTGGGGGCTTGGGGGAGTATGTGTATGTCCACCCTGAACTTGGAGGAGTCCACGCCCACTTTGGGGAAGGAATGGGGTGACTTTGAACAGCTACACGCACGCATGGCTTGCTTTGGCCCAACGTGGGGATCCCGGCCGTTTAGGGGCCCCTTTCCTATTTGCAGCTAGAGGAGAGGGGAAGCCTAGAGGGCAGCGCGTAGTAGGACATTTGTTGCACAGCGTTTAGGAAAGAACCACCCCTTGAGTGGCTACTCCGCTCCAGACAGTGAGTGGGAGGACTAGATGTCTTGACCTCGCTACCTTTAGAGGGCAAGGCAGGTAGATAGACAGATGGACCGAAAGAGGAATGTAAAAAAGCTCTGGGGAGTGGAAGGTGGATGAGTGTGGAGTAAAGCGTTTTCAAAATCCACCACCGAACAAGATGTGCTTATTAAAAATGTCCGAGAGCAGTTGAGCCTGGACAGATCTGAGAGAGAAATGGCTCCAACCCGTGGCCTGCTGTTCCTTCTTCCATGCTGGCTTTCAGAGGAAACTTTGTATTTTCCAAGTGCTTTTTTCTCTGTGCTTGGCACATTCCAAACCAACGCACAGTCACCTGGTGGATTCCGACTCCTGGGGACCCGCTATAGGGTTTCCGAGTCTCCTCTTCCTCCTGCAGAGCGCTGACTGGTGGGTTTGAATGCAGACCTTGAATTAAGCAGTTCAGTGCGACCCATAGCGCCACCGCGGATCCTTCAAGGCCCTCGGAGGGGTTCTTTTAGCCGTTCTTTTTTCTGTCAACAAATTCACTTCTCAAAGCCTTTGCCATCCCACTCCACTTTGCTTTCTGATGCTAATGCCTAGCTTGTAACAGTTACTTTTAATTTCACATCCTGATTTTGGGTTTTAGAAAAAATGAATATCACTTCTGCTAATCATAAGGTCAGCAGTTCAAAACCACCTGTTGCTGGCTGGGAGAAAGATGAGGCTTTCTACGCCTGTAAACAGTTACAGTCTTCAGAAACCCAGAGGGACAGTTCTACCCTGTCCTATGGGGTCACGATGAGTCAGAATTGACTCGATGGCAGTGAGTTTGGTTTTGAGTCATCTCATTGAACATAAGCTCAAGAACAGGTCAGCAAGCGCTAGGCGGTAAACGGATGACACCTCTGTTTCATAAGTTAAATTTCACCTTGCGCTTTAGAAAACTAGAAGTAATCCAACATGTGCCAAACTTGTTGGCAGTGAGGCAAGAACAGCCACGTCTCATTTCCCCAGATGGTGAGGAAATAGCTTATTTCTCAGCAGTACTTTTTGTTTCCAACCTAAGTGCTTGCCCTGTCGAGCACACTTCTTACCTTTGTAAAATGAATCCTGGGTAACCCAAACTTTATAAACAAAAAAGCCGAACAAAGAATCAGCTGAAGAAGGTGGTCAAGAGCTCAGAGTGGGCCCAGCGGACCTCAGTTGGAAGCTTGTCTAATATGACTCTCAGTGCCCAGCAGAGGCACCCCGGAATATAGTTTGAATCGAACAAGTTGGGTTTATTGCTCACCGCAGTGAGAGAGACCTCACACTGTGTGGGGCCATGGGCATGACTCGGTAAGAAGTGGGTTGGGAGGACTTATGATAGGATATTGGGTGATTTTTGTGGAGGATTTAAGCAGAATTGGATGCTGTCGGGAAAAGAGAAATTCCCGACTTGGAGGCTTATTAAATCTTGCCGATAGGCAGGACAGATTGCAGTGCAACAATCTGATGAATGCGGAAGAACAGCCACTCACAGTAACTAGGAGAGGAGCTCTTCCGTATGTTTGTGTGGTTTGGACAAATGTACATGTTTTGTCTGTGTTTAGACGTGATATGTCTCATCGTGATTATAACCATCAAGTGACCTTGTCTAATGTTGATGTTCTTTCAAATTGTTTGTGCCCAACAGGAGAACACCAGGGCCTAGTTGTGAGTGGCCGTGCAGCAGCACCAGGGCGCAGCTGAGAGTAACAGGCCAACTCCCAGACCCCAGGCCTGTTCCCATCCTCGAGACCGTGGGTAAGTTAGCATCTTTGAACTTCAGTTCCTGCATTTGTAAAATATGAACTAACATTTGAAAAATATATGAACTACCTCGAAAAGCCAAACTCACTGGAGTTGATTTCAACTCACAGTGACCCTATAGGACAGGGTAGAACTGCCCCTGTGGGTTTCCGAGACTGTAACTATGGGTGTAGAAAGTTTTGACTTTCTCCTAAGGACTAGCTGGTGGTTTCAAGCTGCGGGCTTTGTGGTTAGCAGCCCGGTGAGAAACCATTACGCTACCAGGGCTCCTGGTAAAATATGGACAGGACCTACTGTTTGATGTTGGGACTTCTTCCCTAGGGATCCACGGATGAACCAGAGTTGCTCTGGAGAAGAATCCTGAATAGGGCGTTAGGAAGAACTGGATTCCTTCTAATTGCAGACATGATAATTCCAAGAATCAGTCTTAGGAATGGGGGCTAGCGGTTTTAGTATCTTCTCGTGTCGTTGTGACCTTGGCAACTATATTTAGGATTCTTTGTTCCAACCAGCCAAGGACACTTGTATCTTAATAATTCTTTGGTGTCGTCTTGCTTTCTTGGTCTCATGCAGGAGTCTGAGCCAAGCTAGCCTGTTCTCACCCTGTTCTCTCTGCACCCCCTCCCCCCCAATTCTAATTTACTCTGAGCTAGAGAGCCGGATTAAACAGATGTGTATAAGGATGCTTTGTGTTCGCTCCCCAGGAGGTTGGTTTTACCTATGAACTACACTGAGTTTTGTTTTAGTTCGTGAGCAATTTGAGCTGTATTTCTTCTGAGCCCACTGACACCTGCTTGCAGGTTGGTGGGTTCTGCAGGTTTGAATTCTAAGTCCTACTTCTGGCTGCTTGCGACTTGTCTGTGTCAGCCACTTTGGGCCCGAGACCCTTGTGAGTGATTTCATCTCTCTTGGTTAGATGGGTTGCATGATTTATGTATTTTAAACTTTTTATTGTGGTTTGGGGTCCATCAGTTTCCATTCAACAATTTCCACACGATTTCTTTTGCGACACGGGTTGCAACATCCCCTGAATGTAATAGCACTCTTACTGCTTCCTACTTGGGTTCCCCATTTCCATTTGTCTGTCGTTCCTGTCCCTTCCTGCATTCTGAGCTTTGTTTTGGGGGAAATGCTGCACTTTCGGTCTCCTGGGGTTGATTGTATTGGGGAGTGCAATCTTCCCTGGTAGGACAGTGCACTTCTCGGCCTGTCCGTGGGCTGAAATTTGGCTTCAAGAATGGATTCAGTTTCAGGCTTGACCAGTAGCTAAAGGCTACAGTATCAGAGTCTCTACTGATGGGTGTGTCTCATCAGATACCAGGCATGATTAAAATTTTTAATTAATTAAAAATTTTCAGATAATTAAACATTTTTCAGATAATTAAAATTTTTGTTCTACCTTTTTTCTCCCTCTCTGGCTAGGGCCTCCTGTAAAATATGGACAGCGCCTTACTATGTGATGTTGAGACTTCTCCCTAAAACTGCTGAAAGCACGCGTAGTGGTAACAAGCACCGCCTAGTTCTTGTTCTCAGGGGAGTGGGGACTGTGGCGTGTGTGGCCCATTATTCCTTTGGACTAGTTGTTTCCTTGAGTTTTAATTGTCTTCATTCATCTTTGCTTTGAAGGCGAAGAGAGCAGCCACCGTGTCTTCGATGGCCGATTGCAAGCAGTCCCTTTCCCTCCATGCAGAATGTAGACTAGTGCTTTGTGGCATATGTGCTGCCCATTACCCTCGATGCTCCCCAAGACTGGCCCTGGGTCCCGAAGCTCACTGTGACTTATTCCCTCAAGGTGTTCGGTTGTGGCTAAGAAGTTCTTAGAACTCTGCTTCCTGTACGCTTTATCATATCCTTGGATGCTTTTACAGCACATACAGATACATCGTATGCCGTACTAACTTCTGCCAATCCTACACACACACACACACACACACACACACACACACACACGTGGATTCCCTGTCACCTTCCCGTACTGTTCAGTTTGCCTGTCTCCCTGTGTACACACTTTTCGATACTGTTGGATGTTATGATGCTGCAGACTTGCACATGTAGCAGTATTTACCTTCTTTCCCCTTTTAGTCTCGTGTACCTCCCAGTGTCTTCTCTTGCTTTGGCCATGTTGTGAGGCCTTTCCCCTTATTGTATATTGCCTTTACCTTCACCCAAGTTAATACCTCTACTCTGGTTCAGAACTGACCCTCCGTCGCTCCCATCCTTAGAAGCTAGCAAAGAATGCATCTTCCTTCAAGTAAACCTTGACTTTTTACAATGGACCACCTGCTTTAGATGCTTGAGACTGATGGGGACAGCTTATTGTTTCTGACTGTCTCATTATAAAAGCTTTTGTATTAATTCTCTATTTATATGTTTGACTGTTTATGTCAAACATAGATCAAGAGTTTCCAGAAACAAAGGGCAGGCCTCGGGGATGGGCAGGGACCAAAGCCAGCAAATAAGCCAAAGACATGAAACGTTTTTCTTTTGAGCAGGATGAAAGAGGCCTTATTTCCTTTGTATTAGTAGTGCAGAACCCCAAACCAAACCGAGCTGCTCTTCCTCACCTGCCAGACTGGCCAAGTCAAAGCTTGACCAGTCACCAGCCGAGACGGACACTTTCCTACCAGACTGGGGCAGCTCCGGGGAAGGTTACGTGTGCAGTGCCTGCTCTCGCTACAGACGCACGGGCCCGTTCCTCGAGCAGCCCCTCTCCTGGGATCCGGCCCGTTAGATACACATGTCCAGAGAGGAGTGGCACATATGTACACGCATGAGAGGGGACGAGAGGAGTGGCACATATGTACACGCATGAGAGGGGACGTCAAAAGTTCGTGGAAAACTGGAATGAAACTACAATGGGCCTGAAGAAGAAAATGTTCTAAAATCGATCACAGTCATCACAGCTCTTTTGAATATGTTTCAACTCTTGAATTACGTGATATGTAAAGTATATGTCAGTAAGTGGTTAAGATTAAAAAATGATAATGGGTTTTTATCATGAAGCTTAGATGCCCCCTTATTGTATACGCTTTCTTTTTTTTTAATAATAAAAAATTTAAATAGCAACGTAATCTGGAACTCGGGAACAGGCTAGTGGCCAATGACTGAGTTCTGGTGGCAGAGTGGGTAAAGCATTGGGCTCCCAACCACAAGGTCAGCAGTTCGAAACCACTAGCCACTCTCTGAGGGAGAAGCTGAGGCTTTCTACTCTTATAAGAGTTACAGTGTCAAAAACTCATAGGAGCAGTTCCACTCTGGTCACTGTGAATTGGAACTGGGTTAATATTGCAACTATCAAGATGAACGTACTGCATAGATTATTTTTTACTTGTATCTGCATGAGAAAATATGATGCTGATGTCAAGGTTATTTGGAGGGGGTTTCGGCTGGAGTTGGGAGGTAGCTAGGCATGGGCAGGAATGCCTGTTTCAGTGTATGCTTTCTCTATGGTTTGTAGTTTCGATTTTCTTGCTGCATCATGTGAACTTATTATGTACTCAAGCATAAAGAAAGAGCTAATTTACTTCACAAGGAGAACATTTTCTAAGAGTTCTATGAGCGAGTGAGTGCCCTGATTCTAGTGAAGCCTTCAGAAGCAGTAGCCACCTCCAGTAACACTCCACACAGCAGCCTGTTTTGCTAGTGAGGCAAATAGAGCTGTAGGTGTAAAAATGTAAAAAACCAAACAAACCAACTATGTCCGTATTTTGTTATTATTGTTATTTTTGTAATCCTCTAATCCCTTGGGGATGGACTAGTGTCAGTACAGTGTCAGACCTCATACAGATGGGTTTTATTTGGTTTGGTGTTATTTTTTAATGGTGCATCTGATTTGACTTCTGCAGTCATGGGTTTGATGTGAAGGCAAGTGACAGATACCCTTTCAGCTTGCTCCAGAACAAGCCCAAATAACCAAACTCCCCGCCACCGAGTCAATGCTGAGCCTGTATGCAGGCAGCACTGCGCCGCCCGTGAGTTTTCAAGACCGTCACTCTTTACGGGAGTAGAAAGGCCCTCCTTTCTCCTGACGACTGGCTGGTGCTGTTTTCCAACTGCTGACCTTTCAGATCGCAGCCCAATGTGTGGCCACTATGCCATCAGGGCTCGTTGGTCCCAGAACACTCCAAACCAAACTCTCTGCCATCGAGTCAATGTTGACTCACAGCGACCCATAGGAAACCCCTGTGGGTGTCTTAGTCTGTAAGTGTTGATCGGAGTAGAAAGCCCAGTCTTTCTCCTGCGAAGCTGCTGCTGGTCTGACTGCTGACCATGCGATTGCAGCCCAATGCTTAACCATGCCATCACCAGGGCTCCTTGTTGTCCCAGAAGAGAAGCCATAAAAATAGAGACCCTGACACCAGTGGTAAGCTGAGGCAGATCCTACTGCCCCCTCTGCTTGGGCCAGTAGGATGAATTCCCATAGGTCACTATGAATTCCCATAGACCCTGGCTTTGTGGTTGTAACTGAAGTTTCTTTCATTGGGCTCAGCAGTGTAATGCCAGTGCCTTGCATACTGCCAGTGCATGAAAGTCCTGTGACTGGTCCTGGCACTGAGTGGACACGCCGTGCTGCTTTGGGGCTGGAGCATCTAGCTGATGGCACGAGACCTTCCAGGCTCTTTCCGATTGGGTGATGACCGTCAGTGCGCAAGACGGTGACTGGGGCATCAATCTGGATCCCCGAATCACTTTGACAGCAAAGCTTTCCTCTCCCCCGGCGTTGCATAGCTAGTATCAACCTTCATTTTCACAAGTCCCTGAGATGTGAGGGATGTTTGTTTCGGAAGCACAACCGAGCCTGTCCTACTCAGTACACATCTTCTCCTTCAATGACGTCATTTGCTTTCTTTGTCATGAACTAACCTCAAACTTAAAGATTTCCTAGGGATAAGATATTCTCCCATTGTGAACTGATTGATGCTAGGGAGAATGTAATGTAATTTTTAAACAAAAGTCTCAAAATTACAACTTCATGCTTGATTTTGAGAGAACCAATTTCCCTCCCCCCCAGGTAATTTGGAGCCATCAAAATGTTTGCCAAGGCAACACGTAATTTTCTGAGAGATATTGATGCTGGTGGCGACCTGATTCCAGTAGTGAACTTGAATGACTCGGATAAGCTGCAACTGCTCAGTCTGGTGACCAAAAGGAAGAAATTTTGGTTCTGGCAGAGACCCCAGTACCAATTTTTATCTCTTACCCTTGATGATGTACTTACGGAAGACCAATTTGTGAGTCCAGGTATGATTTTTCAATTATATTCTATAGTTAGCCCCAGAACATAAGCTGTTTTTTCTTCTAGACATGTGCTATCTTAAATCCAGATTTGCTGTCTTACAATAAATTCCTCTACTTCATGCTGTCTTAAAATATGTGCTTTCTTTCTTTTTTTAAACTGTTTTATTGGCATATAATTCACTTATCATGTAATCCAGTGGTTTAATCATATTAAAAGGAGTTGTACAATCAGCACCACAACCAATTTTAGAACATTTTCTCCTTTCTTGTACTCATTATTATTATTTATTTATTTTTATTGAAAGATCATTTTATTGGGGGCTCTTACAGATTTTGTAACAATCCATACATCAGTTGTATCAAGCATATTTGTACATATGTTACTGTCATTATTTTCCAAACATTTACTCTCTATTAAGTCCTTAGTATCAGCTCCTCTTTTGTCCCTCCCCCCACTCATGACCCCTGCATAAATTATAAGTTATTATTATTTTCATATCTTACAATGACCACTGTCTCCCTTCCCCCACGGTTTCTGTTGTTTGTCCCTCTGGGAGGGGGTGCATGGTTATATGTCGATCATTACAATCCGTTCCCGCTTCCTCCTCTTCCCACCTTCCCCCTACGCTTCTGGCATCACCACTCCCATTCCTGTTTCTGGATTCTGTGTGTCCTGAGCTCTTATCTCTCGCTCTCTCTTTTTTAATCATTTTATTAGGGGCTCATACAACTCTTATCACAATCCATACATACATCAACATTCTCAAAACATTTGCTCTCCACGTAAGCCCCTGGCATCAGCTCCTC